ATATATATATATATAAAACATAACCCCCTATTTATAGCCACTCCGCCAAGGAAGAAAATGACTTTGTTTTACACTAAAATACATCAATGTATAAACTCACGATCCTCTCTAAAAATTTCGAGAGAGTTTCTTTCCCTAAAAGCTTCAATTTTGAAATAGTTTCTTTCTCTAAAACCTTTAAATTTAAGATAATTTCCCTCCTTAAAAATTTTGGATAGTTTCTCTATCTAAACTTTCAAATTTTAAGTTTCTAAAGAGAATTGTAGGTTGATACATGGGAGGTAATTCATAAAAATAAATAAAATAAAATAAAATAAAAGCAACTAAAATAAAATAAAAGCAACTTTCTTTCTTGCTGATAGCTGCAAAAATAAATACTAATTGGTTTAATTGTGTGGCCCAAAAAGTATTTAGGGGACTATTCCTAGAAAGTATGATCCCAGCGAATATACATAATTTTCCCTTAGATTACAAATAAGGCATATCTTCAAAGTTCAAACTCCATCGATAGATGCAGTTCGGGTGCCAAGAACCTCACCATAATTTTAAAATATATTTCTACATCTAATTATAAACTTTAACGCTCAAAAAAGGATGATCATGCATATCGATAAACACTATAAAATTTTAAAAATAGATGGTCTAGATAACGTGTCTCATGATGTACTACTTTTAGAACTTGCAATCTCTTTTTCTTTCGTTTTTTCACACACATATATCCGGAGGTTGAGATAATCAAATGAAGAGTTCTCTAGTGTTCGAACAACTTTTCTGGATGGGTTTTTTAGGTGTGCCTTACTTCTACATAAGATGATCGACACCTCATACAAACGTTTTTCAAAAATACAATTTATACAATATGGATTATAATATAGAAAAAGTTTCTATAAGGTGTCAAACTTAGACTGCAGAAGTAAGGCATAACTAAAAAATAACCACTTGAGAAGGTTGTTCTGACATTGAAAAACTGTATAATTGATTACATCGACTTCGGGATATACAAGTATGGTGAAAAAGAATTTTATGTCTTAATAATGGCGTCTTGTAACACATTATTAAAGCCTTCCATTTTGAAAATTTATGAGTTTTTATAGATCTACTCAATCTACACCATTTTAGAACTTCAAAATTCGTAATTAATGATGAAATTAGAAGAAATACATCTTTTAGGAAGTTGTAGAGGTAAGTGGTAGTATTTCATGTATTTGTCGCGGGTGGAAATTGCTTTGCTTGGCTTTGCTTTGCTGCCCCCTTGGGTTGCTTGTGTTTTAAGGTAATTAAGGCTTCGTTTGGATGCTAGGGTAAATAAAACCATGTTTTGGATCATAACATGGTAAACCCCAGTTATGCCATAACCTAGTTATTGAGAAATGGTTGTTTGGATAGCTTGTAGATAGTACCCAGGTTATGCAAATCCCCATTTGGGTCATCTATTTACGTAACTTGGGTTTATATTATTTAAGACGCATTTGGTAGGTATGAAACATTTTCGTACAAAATATTTTCATGTGAAAATTACGTTCTACATATTTGGTATGCAACAATACATATAAAAAAAATTTCCATTATAAAAAATTTTATCAAAATTTTAGGAGGGAAACTACTTAAAAACTTTTAGAAAAAAACTATCTCAACATTTTTAGAGAGAAAATTGTCTTCTCTCCAATAGGAACCGTTTGGATACCAATTGGATTTTATTCCCCATCAAAATAAATTATCACGTTACGCCAAATTTTCCCAAAAATGTGAGCGAAAAATATTTGATTTCATTCACAATTTTTTTTGCTTCCGTCGTTGCGCCTTTCCCCCAACCTTCCTGCTCTCAGTTCGTACTTTCCCAAAACCTTCCCGCTCTCAGTCGCACCTACAAAAGCCTCTCTCCCACTCTCAAGCAAGTTCAAAAAAATTTCAAACGCCGATGTTTTACAACCTCAAAATATTATTTGTAAAAGACGTCTCAGACGAAAGTTTGTAAAGGAGGTCTCTCTTTGGCCCATCCAAGGTACTCTCTACTCTCTCTCTCATAATAATATTGAACTTCTCAATCTTTCATCTTGTTTCATAGCTACTAACTCAGAGAGAAATAATTCCCTTTGAAAATCCAAATTAGGGTTTTTAAATCCAAAAGGGAATAAACTGAGTAGAACCTATTTCCTCTATTCCAAAATAATTCCCTTTGAAAACCAAAATTAGGGTCTTTTCTCTTTCTCTCTCATCAAATCTTGATCTTAAATGGAAGCTATCTCTGTGTGTCCCATCAGTCATGCCTCTCTTCATTCCCAATATATCTCTTTCAGTAGAAATGAGAAACTGCAGGTTTGCAACTCTAGCTTACATTGTTATAGACTCCAACTATGAAGTTGTTATGTATCTTATGAAGTTGTTATGTATCTTATAAAGTATGAAATTACATGGTTCGAATCCTTGTTATGGATGGCATTTTTTTTATGAAATATTACTTCGCATTCATCATTGTCTTTGTTAAATGTATACTGATACACAGTGTTTCGAAATTGAGCTTGGACTTGATTGGTTTAATTGTTGACAGTTCCAACACTATGTTCCATGTTATTCTATCACTATGTGCAACCTGGACGTTGCATTTTGAAAATACTTTGTAGCAATGTTCCTCTAGGTGGGAGGGGTCATCATCAGATTCTTCTGTGTTAAAAGAAGCATTAAAATCTGGTTTCAAGGTTTCCAAATGTCACAGTTATTTTCTTTCTTTAAAAATTTTATATTTGATGGAATATTTAAACTTCATTTCTAGGTTGCTAATAAATGTCGTAATCCTTATCTACTTCCTACAAAAGTTATGTTATTTCTCTCTCTCAAATTTGATTAGTTGCTCTCTATAAAGTTTTAAGATACTTTCTCTTTCTAAAAATTCACATTTGATATAGTTCCGCATTCTAAAAATCTTGAAATAGTCTCTCTAAAAAATTACGGTAGTTTCTCTATCTAGAGTTTGATATAGCTTGTCTCTAAAATTTTAAGATACTTTATTCATCTAAATTTTATAATTTTATATAATTTCTCTCTCAAATTTTTGAGACGGGTTCTCTCTCTAACTTTTTTAGGTAATTTCTCTATCTAAAATTGATATAGTTTCTATCTCTAAAATTTTTTGAACTTCTCTTTCTGAAATTTAATATAGTTTTTCTTTTAAAAAATTTAAGATACTTCATTTCTCTAAAACTTTAAATTTTGATATGATTTCTCTCTAATTTGTATGGATGTTTGACATAATTAACTGTATTTAATAAAATAGGTAACTCTGGTGTGCGAAAGTAGTATTGTCACACGTTGTATTCCCTCTTTCCTGCTTACACAAAAGCATGCTTTGGATAACTCTTGTTTTTGTATACCTATGTTCTGGCCATCTTTCTTGGCTAGAGAAAATATGGTTATGTATCTAAAAACTTGCCAAACATATAACTTGGTTATACGTTTTGGATACATAGGATTCAAAGGACCCCTAGAGGGTTGCATGTGCCTAGGCTTAGGATAAGTCATTTTTGGAAGTAGGGAGTTTTGTACTTTTCTATTAGGAAAGGTTTATATACTTCCACTACAACATAGAAATTCTATCCTCCCCTTACCATCCAGAGGTCCAATTTTGATCAAGACAGCCACTCACTATTTAATCTTAGATCCGACGTTTCAGTCTTTTATTTTTAGTTTTTTTTTATACAAATTGCATGAATATGAAATTTGATATGTTCCATTTTCTCATTGGACCACACCTATAAAAAACATTAAAAATAATTTTTCGATAAAATATAATAACCAAAATACCCCTTGAATCTTTCAAGTGTATATTGGTTATTTTTTATTGAAAATATTTATTTTATATTTTTCGCTAGTGTGAATTTAATAGAAGAATAAACATCCAAAATTTGGTGTCACAATAGTTTATAAAAAAAAAATCACAAATAAAATAATATAGAAACGTGACATTGTGATTGGGACAATCTTAACCCTCTATTCAGAATAGAGGGTTGGATAAGAAGGAAGATAAAACTTCTCTGCTATAGAGGAAGCATAGAAAGCTTGCCCTTTTCTATTTCATCCTCTGTTACATATTGTATTTATAGAGCTTTGCTCCTTGAACATAACCTTTCAACATTCAGAAAAAAAAGAAAAAGTACTTCATGTCTCTTCAAGTTCAAGAACTCCCTCTCACTCGTGGAGTGTTTTTAACTTTTTAGCTTCTATTCATATTAGCCAGTAAGAATACAAGACTCTCTTTCTCATATAATTGAAATGCTCCTAAGCTCTCTCATGTAAAGTGAAATGCTCCTAATCAGATATAGCGATTCATGTAAGCACCACCATCAACTAAACTCTCTATCTCTCATACATGCACATGAAAACACATTGCTGTAAATACACATGCAGAGAGAAAAAGAGCACATGTACATTATATCCCAGCAGAAGCAATTCCATCAGGGAAAATATCCAATAATCACTAGTAAGGTACTCACAGCCATCAACCACTCGTACTTGTCAACAAACGGCGGATATGAGCATTTGTCTAAGATTTCACGTACATGTTGTTTGTCAACAGTATAACCATTCATGTTCACTGTCTGTTGACAACCACGTGACCAACCTGAGTACCTTACTCCACAGTAGGAGTATAGCAACAAAACAGCTCCAAATGATGAGGGATACACATCTCAAGGGTGTAGTGAGTCGCATAACCCCGTGTGTTCAAAATACACTGCTATTGGACATAAATTAGCCATATATTACAAAATCATACCCTAACAAAAGAAATATATGACATTACAAAGAATACCACCCCAGGAAATTACTAATACGATTGCTTATAAAACATAAATACTAACTGATTATATGCTGTTAAATTTTGGCCATTTATCTCGAAGGATGTGTTATCATTGGTCAAAAAGCTTGGCCTGAAGCATGGGGTGATCTATTTTGGGCACATCCCAAGCTTTTGAGCAGTGAAAAGCTCATGATATAAGAATAGCACCATGTTGTCTTTTTAATGGCCTTCAACGACGTCTTTAAACTCACCAGTGGTCCTATCACAAATGAAACCAAGATAGCAAAAGTTAAGAGGAGTACCAGTCTTTGATACAACATAAGAAAGCCATGTTGTTCATTTCCTGGGTTATTATGAACAAGTTCATGGCGATATTACGATAATAAAGTATTTGATCAAGTTGTCCATCAATCCACACACACGTCCACACCCACACACACACACAACATATAGAGAACTTTGGCAATGTCCTCTAGTATAGAACTGAAAGACAAAAGTTAGGCTACTAAAAGAAGATGAGGAAAAAGTGGAAATTTCATATCCCGGTTGCTCAAAAGAATAGGTTAACAGCGTACCAGTCCCAAAACAATGCAATGCACGTACCATCTACTCATGCATGCGTGCGAAAGAGATTTATTTTCCATATATCCAAGACATGCTGCCTTCAAGATATTTTCCTTTGGGATTGTTTACGAAGAGACCATTTTATCCATTGTACATGGAGGTCATAATCATTTTTGTCCCTTAAATTTCAAGGTGGATGGCTGTAAAGATGTCATTAAATAGAAACAAAGCTCCAAAAAAAATTCTCGGGCTTCGTGACTCACCCCAAGCCATCCAATTTGACATCTAAGGAGTGGGAATGATTGTGAACTTATGTACAAAAGATAAATGGTCTCTTTGTAGACAGTCCCCTTTCTGGTAAAATACATAGATACTAATAGACAAAAAGGCATCGCTTTGAGGAGTACCAGTCTTTGATACAACTGTCCCTTTCTTTTACTGTAGAAAAGAAGAATGAGCATACCTTCTATATGACAAAAAGGCATCCCCAATATTCCCACTGACCTTGTTCCGCACCTTTCGCACACATATCTGCCAATCAAAACTGAGAGAGTTAACAACAAACTGGAATTTCCATGAAAAGGTACCTCACAAAAATAAGAAAAATTTAAAAGGAAAAGGAGAAATATCAAAACTGTGCCTGGCACCCTCACATAAATCGTGCAGGTACTCCATTTGATTTTGGAATTTCAAAATGGTGCTTCAATTTTATTTCTCCGATTACCTCATTTGTCTTAGTCTAATAAAAGTAAACACCTTAAACTTTCCCTTAATCCGTTCAAGCCCGAGTAAAGGAAGTGGGTTGCATTAGATAGGCAGCCAACTTAGAACTTTGCCACATCTTATCATGATGATTACCCTCATTTGTCTAGACAGGTCGGAATGGTCGTATAGAGGGAGAACGCAATCCAAGTTTTTGAGGCATATGCATGTTTATTGCGGGTGGGTTGGAGGCACAACTTTGATTTTTCCCCAAATAGAGAAGAAACTGTTAGATTCTCAATTAACAATTAACCTGCACTCGATCTAGAGGTCCTGCATCTGGGTCCCTATTACGATGAACAACAATGCCATTGTCACACTTGTTTATAAAATGAGCACTCCCACTGATGTCATAGAGATTAGGCGCACCACCATTCCAGTTTTGTAGCTGCAAATAAATTCATCTAGAAGGTCATTGAAACATGATAACAAGTAAAAGTACCAACACGGCTATTCATGTCTTTGTGTGCATATACGAGAGAGAGAGAGAGAGTCTTGCCTGCCGTGGATGAGCAACAAACCATACATGGCATTGATGGTGCTGAGCAAAACGTTTAACCAAGGTAAGCATTTGGCTCACATACTCTGTCTCTGTTCTGTTGAGTACACAAGCAAAGTTAAATTTGCAGCAGTGGTCTATGTTCATTTGGATTATGGAGATTAATTTATTAAAGGTAGCATTTAGGTGCATCCAGCGATGCACCTGCTATAGTGAGTCCACCCTTCCAAAATCCAAAAATTTACAGATCTATTCTCTAGACCGAGTGAGACCAACTTTGCTCTATGGGGTGGAATGTTGGGCGGTCAAAAATAAATATACCCATAGAATGAAGGTAGCAGAGATGGGGAAGTTGAGATGGATGAATAGCAAGATAAGAAAAGATAATACAAAATGAATACATTCGAGAAAATTTACGTGTGGCACCAATAGGAAATAAGATGAGAGAGAGTAGATTTAAGTACACTGGCTATGTGTGGTGCAGCCCCAGTACAGCACTTATTAAGAGGTGTGAGTTAGTGAGTTAGTTTAAGTGGCATGCTTAAAAAAAACAAAGGGCAAGCCCAAAAGGATATAGTTGGAAGTAGTGAGAAAAGATATACGGTTTTATGGCCTCACTGAGGGTATGGCCCTTAATAGAGCAGAATGGCTGACCAGGATTTGTATAACCGACCCCAATTAGTTGGGAAAAGGCTTTCACGATGATGATTCTCTATACCAACCTGACCAAGAATCTGAGGAAAAGAAAATGAATTGGAACTTAAAAATGGCTTATTCTATACATTTTTTAGCCCGTTCAAATTATTTCTCCAAAGATAATCAGAATTACATTGTTTTTGGAGCTCCAAATCATGTATCTAAAGCGGAAATGGATCCACAGTGATTTAGGATATGTTTGAGGTCAATAGGTCCAAAATCGAATACCAGGGCGGTCACATGAGTCAGTCAACTCACTATATACATCTCCACTAATTAAATGTAGATCACATGGCATTGATGAATATATGCATCAAAGGAAATTAGGGTGGAATTCTCTCTCTCTCTCTCTCTCTCTCTCTCTCTCTCTCTCAATAAAGCACAGCATAGAAAATATATGAAGTAAAAGGTAATTGGAATGCATAATTTAAATATTTTTTGTTCTGAAAAAATAACATGCGTGCTAAATTTGGGGCCCAAAACCCCCTGTGGATCCAACAGGCCTATGCTACAATACAAACCTGTGGACTTATAGGACATTTTTTCCTTCAAGTAAGTCGTCATCATCATCCGAGCCTTTTCCCAACTACTTGGGATCGGTCATGGCAGAGTTATTTTTAAATTTATTTCCTACTAGAAAATATGGAACTTAAATTAGGAAGATTCGCCAACATAATTGTAGTGTTCAGTTGAGAAGGGCGCACTGATTGGGAGGTCTTTGATGATCAAGTTCGTTGTATGGATCAATCACAAGTCCCCGTACCCCATATCTCAGGACTGCAGCTTTGGCAAGATCAATAACCCATTTGATGGATGGAAGACTATCATCTTCATACCTATTTCACATTACAAAGATGGCTGAATCAAACAGACAAAATGTAAAATGCATGGGAAGGATTAAAATGGTAAGATATTGTAAATTTGAAAACAACTTGAAACAATAAAGATGGCTGCTTAAACAAAATCAGGAGCATGTCATTTATGGAGGGAGTCTGGCACTATTGGGGTGCTTAAACATAATTAGGGGCATTTTATTTCATCTGGCCTGTTGTGGGGTCAGTGCACAGAATTTCACGGGGAATGAATCCCCCCTCTTAGCACTCTTTCATAAACCATGGTAATTTTTTCTAAAAAAAAAAGCCTTTAGAAATTCCCTCTCTCTCTCTCTCTCTCTCTCTCTCTCTCACACACACACACACACACACACACACACACACAC